GTTCAAAAGATGCAAAATTTGAGGAATATGTCTATATCTGTGAGTTCTCCTTTGTTTTGCGCAGAACGGACTTTACAGCATCTTTAAATAATTTTATATCATTAATGGTTTGAAATACATACCATCGCAATAAATTCAATTACGTTGCGTTTACAAAATTATTTACTCAACTTTTACGAAGATCCATGACGGCCACCAGCATTTGATCTTTGATTTGATTAAAATTCACAAGACTCGCAAAACTCGAACGACTCGCATGACTCGCACGACTCGCATGACTCGCACGACACGCATGACTCGCACGACACGCATGACTCGCACGACACGCATGACTAGCAGACTCGCAAAATAGCCTACCTCTAACATTTGTATTTACTCGTTTTAGTCTTGTGAAAATAAACAGAAATATATATTCACTTTTGTTTCATGTAAATCCAATAAGGTGCCTAATTCAGCTGTGGATTTGATTCAAATGTAATAAAAGATTTCCGAAATATGACGTGTATTTAGGGGTTCCATACACCACCGTAGCAATGTAAACAACATGAATATGCTAATTACCTTGAGCATGCAGTTAGGTTATCTTGATTGAGGGGAAAATTTGAATATATAAATCAGTTAATATAATATAAATACTAAGTAAATAAAATAATGGAAGCATGTTGCTTTGATTTGAGAGACCGAACGAAAACATTCTAATTATTCCTTCAATTAATCAGATGTAATTATTATAATAACCTGTAATTAGACGTTGCTAGATCTAGCAAAACTCCTGCTCAGGCGTCCACATTCACCTAAAAATAAGGACATACGTGCTATTGGTATAATAGACAAGTATACAAAACGTGAATCGCAAACGCAAAGTGTGAAACGGTGAAAGTCTAAAAGCATGGCGTGATCCTCAGGAGATGTTTTCGTAATTCCCAATGAAACACAAGTATTACTCGCAAACACAAACGTTATCCATAAATGCACATGGTCTCTGAGCATGCGATGCGCTGACGCAGACAATATTGTCTTATATTCTGTGATCCGTATTAAACGTATAAAATAAAACGCATAAAACGAAAAACTCAGTCATCCAGATATTGCATTTCCAGAGAGGTTGCACGAAAATAAACCCAATTTACTTCCAAGACAGTGCAGGGTAGGATAAAACCAAAATCCGCAGAAAAACGCGCTAAAATTCGTTGACAAATGAATAAATTGTTTGAGACTGAAATACTCACTCGTTGAATGGCCGCCATCATGAAAGCTGATCTGCATAGTAATCTGGAACGACTGGAACACTGAAAAATGAGTCTGCGATGCGCAAACTCGATTTCCCGACGACGAAAAAAAACGGGAAAAATCAGATATTTAGGGATTTAAGAGACTTGACATTTCAGGTCAGTGTAATAATGCTGATGGTTGCGCTTACTGTAATGTAATAATTTTGAGGAACACTCCACTAAAAATATATTGAGGTGCAAACAAGAGATTGTACTTAAGTTAGGTTACTTGCGAAGTTTGAAAAGACAATTATTTTTAGGTAAGGAGGAATTGTTCATCGAAGTTTGTAAAATCCCTTAATGAACGACGCCATGTTGTATTTCTCAAGCAGACGCCTACACGGCTAAAAACGCACAGGTTGTTCCAAGTTGATATCGACAGGCGTGAACAATGTTGTGCGGCTAACTATGAACAAGTTGTCAACCATGTTGTTCCAAGTTGTTACAGTTGAACAATGCTGTAACAACATGTTGACAATACTGATCATGGTGAGCCGCAGAACCTTGTTTACGCCTGTTGATATTAACCTGGAATGAGTAGTTCATTCTCTCAATTTTGCGCGTGTAAGGCCAGCGGTTTCATAAGAATTTTCCATTTTTATCCTTCGAGCGAAACTTCAAAGACTTTCATTACACTGTGGTTGTGTTTCCTGTTCAAATAATTGTGTTTAATCGATTGTAAAATTAGCAAAATATCTAAACAACAAATGAGTTGTTAAACTTGCGCGGGTTGTCCCTCCTGATATTTCGCAACCAAATGCTTTGAAGTGGATCACTTTTCAGTCTATGATAAGTTCTGTCTGAACTTTAGTCTTTCTCCAACCATTTTCACATTTCCGAACCATACAGTGCGGCATTTTTGTTAATTTCACAGTCTATTAAACTGTCTATTTAAACACAATTAATTAAACAGTAAACACGATCGCAGTATAATGAAAGTTTTTGAAGTTTCGCGCGAAGGATGAAAGCACTCAGTGACGTCATATTTTTGTGAAACCGCTGCTTGAGAAAGACAACATGGTGTCGTTCATTAAGGAATTTTACAAACTTCGATAAGCAATTCCTCATTATTATTATTATTATTATTATTATTATTATTATTATTATTATTATTATTATTATTATTATTATTATTATTATTATTATTATTATTATTAAAACGAATTATTATACAGGATAAAACACTACAGCAAAAGAATAGCTGTTATCAACGTGTGTCCTGTAATGTTCATAAAAATAACTATAACTATATACTACTTAATATAAATTACAATATAGAATATTAAAATATCTTCAGAGATTAAAAAGTACATTTAAAAATGATCTTCTAAGAGTTTAAGAAAGTTCTAGTGGTTTTCTGTTTTTCGTATTTCAGCTGGCAGGTCATTGTAGATCAGAGCCGTAGAGAGGGGGGTATTGGGGGCATTAACATATTCGGAAAATCGGGTTGGCCATTCGGAAAATTACTGCAATAATAGTATAACAAAATCTTAGTTGTTTAAACAGAGAAAATATTATAAAATGGTATTGTCAGTATAAACCGTTGGTATAAACTGATTTACGAAATCACGGCATTTACATGGATAACGTAAAACAAATCGTAAATCGGTAAATGTTTTTCGGTTTATTGCTTCTCAGGGCCGTAGCAGTCGGGGGGAGGGGGGAACTGGGGGCAGCAGCCCTTACAATAATTTGCTGATAGTCATTCTTTTTTTTTTAAATCTTGCACACCTTCATAATTTAAATAATATATCTTTAAAATACTGACACTAGACTAGAGGTGTGCATCGGATCGGATTGGACGTTTATACTCCGACAATTGCCTAATGTTTAAAATCCGATCCGAAATTGTCTAATCCAAATCCGATCCGAGTTTTGAAAAAGAATTCCAATTCGATCCGAAGAATTCTTTAATAAAATAAATGTCTCGTTCAAGTTGAAATATTTAACCAAATAAATATAAAAGCAAGAAATACATGTCAAGAAGCTGACAAAGTGACGTCCAATTGAAGTATCAAACGAATAATGCAGCGAAAACCGCGATGATACTTTGATAAATGTATGGATAATTAGTTCTTGCGATAATGCATGGATATTTAATTCATTTTATTTCGGATATCGAAGTCCGATCCGACTACGAAACAACTTTATCAATCCGATCCGAAATTTACATTTTCGATCCGAAATCCGAATGAATCCGATCGGATTCGGATCGGATTTGCACACCTCTACAATAGACCTTAATTTCCCCATTGGAGTGAAATTTTGATCTAGACAAGCCTGGACAAAATTTTCACCACAGCTTGAAAGAGCATCACAAAATTATTAGTAATATTCCGAAGTTTCGTTGAATGTTGTAAAATGCGGATAATATAGCCTTGCGAAGTTTGCCGTTTTTCAGTCATTTTGCATTACAAACGGGAAATTGATAATCAGAAACTGGAAACTGATTATCAGGAAACTGATTATCAATTTCCCATTTGTAATACAATGACTGAAAGGCTATATTATCCGTATTTTACAACATTTCGCAACGAAACTTACTAAATTTGTGATGCTCTTTCAAGCTGTGATGAAATTTTTGTTTAGGCTTGTCTAGATCAAAATTTCACTCATAAGGGGAAAGGTCTATTGATTAATTTTAAGCGGCTACATTATCCATGACAAACCGCAAAGAATCATATTACCTATACTCTTTCCTGCAATATATAGTTAATTAAATACGCCTTCGCCCATTTAGTTCTACTAAATTGTAAGCAAATTGTAAATTTCGACATACTAAAACTCTATTAACAATTCGAACCGACTTGGCCCCGTAGTTCAGTTGGCAGAACATTGGACTAGTATCCCAAAGGTCGCGGGTTCGACTCCCACCTTGGCCAAGCAAACTTTTCAGCTTGCCCGCTGTGGATGCATACTCAGAGTAACGTCAGAAATATCATACTAAAACTCCGTTTTCTGACCATCAGGATTCTGTCAAAACTTCCCCAAAGTCCAGGAAATGGCATTTCAGAGAATCTAAATTTAAAAATTTCCTCCGGCCTTCGGCCCTCGTTCCCAGCCCGCAATAAAAAAATGCTTCCTACGGCACTGCATGCTTCTGTAATATGTCTTTGCGTAAACTATGTGGATTTTTGTTTGTAAATTGCATCTTCATTTTCCGGATAGCAAACACCTTCGTGGCTTCGTATGCCATAAAATATTCGGAAATTTTCTTCGTCATTCGGAAATTTTTGGCCTACCCCCAACTATACATGGTAGCTACGGCCCTGTTGTAGATCTTCGCACCCATGAAAAAGAACGACTTCCGCGCATATTCAGTTCTTATTTTTGGAAGGCGTAGCAGACAATCATTATTTCTCGTTTTCTTTTCATGATTAATGATGGTAAAATAATCATGGAAAAGCGAACTTATGTCCTTAACAAGGCATTTTCGTACGATTTCACAAGCTCTCTTATGATTACATTGAATTACTGAGGGGAGTTCTGCTGGAATACTTTTGCCAGTAGATACAGTTTTTACAGCACGGTCGTGGAAAAATGAGAGTCTCGTCAGCTGAGTCTAAAAAGAATTGTCTTTTCAAACTTCGCAAGTAACCTAACGTAACTACAATCTCTTGTTTGCACCTCAATATATTTTTAGTGGAGTGTTTCTTTAATTACCTGATCCAACTGGAACTAGCGAGCCATTATGTTGTAAAATAATGGCTCATTCCAGTTTTCCTGGACCTCGCTCGCCTTTAGGCCATCCTCCTTTGCCTGTTCCGTGCTTTGAAATACTTTCAGGGACTCTACACCTATTGTACTTGCACCTCTGCTCCAGTTCAAACCAAGTGTGGAGCGATGACGAAGGCATATTGTTATTGAGTGACTTTGACCGGTCTCAGAAAACAGTCCCATTCGGCAGAGCTGGAATCAGTTCAAATTCATTTTCAATTCCAGAAAATTTCTACGTATAGTCTTTTGTTTTGAAATATCTTAGTCGGCCGGCAAAGATGGCAAAAAGTGCCTCTAAAGAGAGTTTGATGGCAACTTTATGTTAGAAGCTAGTAACAGGTATTTTCTTATAGTTCAGGCCTTGGTGAATAAGATTGTGTGTGTTACCACTTCTGATTTTTGCTGAAAAGCCAAAAATTTGAGAATTTTAAAATTTTGCCTATTGAATTACTATGATGTCAAAAAATGTAATATTTCATGTTCTCTTATACAAAAAATAAATTATTCCACTAGAAAGATCGCAAAAAACTGTATATAAGACAATTAAGCGACTAGTGCGATCTTCAAGCCGATTTTGAATTAAAGATGGTTAAAGTTGGCAAAATGGGTACTAATTAGCATTAATTTGGTCATTTCTGCATTTTTTAGCAGTAAAAACTCGAAATAGGATTGGAAAAACGTAGAACTCATTTTATTGTCTTATATATAGTTTTTTACGCTCTTTCTACTGGTATAGTTTATTTTTCGTATAAAAGAACATGAGATTTTACATTTTTTCCGATCATAGTAATTAAATAGGCAAAATTTAAAAATTCTTAAATTTTTGGCCATAAAGCAAAAATCAGAAGTGGTAACACATATAGTCTTGTTCACCAAGGCTTCACCTATAAGAAAATGCCTGTTACTAGCTTCTAACATAAAGTTGCCATCCAGTTGTACAAAATGATGACATGGCCAGCCGTCTTGTAACCGATTTTGACCCTCGCAGAATTTTTAGGAATCTTGCACAAAACCCAAACAGAATGGCTGTAAGCACAATATAAAATAATAACAAATACAAGAAACATGTACAAAGGTCTGGATGGTTGAGATTGGGCGAGGATTGAGATGGATTGTACATGACATCTTATGATTAATTGTTGGCAGACAATTTTGCAAGTCAATTTGTATGAAAACTTCGTTTTACATGCTGTGTGCATGTGGAAGTTCAAAGTTGTTTAATATGATTCGTATATGATAACTGAACCTATTTATAATGTGTATTTTCGAATTCGCAGGTCAGACTTTGAACAAAAAAATTTTTGGTCAAGAATTGGTGACACTGCCCCTTTAATCACATTTTTTATCACTATTTTGCAGTTAAATAGTGATTAACTCTCAAATACGTGCTTCTTATTGGATGACGTTTCCACTAACTATAGTGAACTTTAATCACTTTTTTATACAACTGGCCCCAAGTGACTAATAATTAAAGGAATAGTTTGAGTGCTTTGCTTTCGGTCTCTCAAATCAAAGCAGAAAATATTCCACGAACAATTGATTAAAAAGGGCAACAAACTTCCATTATTTTATTTACTTACCATTTATATTTATTAACTGATTTGTAGCATACTCATGTTGTTTACCTTATAGGCTACGGTAGTGCAGGGGAAACCCCAAATATTCATCATATTTCGGAAATCGTTTATGACAGTTGAATCAAATTCACAGCTGAATTAGGCATCTTATTTATAACAACGGCGACAATAAACCAATCATTATTGATATCGCACGACTCGTTGGGTGATAAATTGATGTGGTTAAGGGCGTGATATAGGCCGTTCCAGTCTGCGTGGTGGAAAACAGTTCTCTTGTCAAAACCTGTTGATTTAATATGAAGTAAGATGCCAAAGAACATCAGGTGGTGGTCACTTGAGAGATCCATTGTTTTGGCGGAAACGCGCGAGAAATTGACATTAGAGAGGTTAAGATACCCCGGTTCCGTTGGTTACGAGTATCGCCAGTGGTATCGTCATTTTGTTTACAAATTTTTGCTGATGTCAGCATTTTACTCGTAATTTCTACCCGTTTCCCCTCAGTAAACCATGGTCTACACGTAAAAGACAAACGGGTACGGGTGTTTTCTGTTTACCATTTGTGGGCCGTTTAAATAGTAAACATTTTCAACATTTTACCCAAGTAAATAATGCATCTATGTTTGTTAAAGTTTTCAACAATTTACGGCGATTCTTAACCCTGAAAGTTGTCATTCTCTGATAGGTTTACTCACGCCAGAATATCTTGGATTTCGTATCTTAAAAGCCCTTCCTCTGTTTAAGGGTACGGGTACGTGTATATCACCCGTACCCGTAAACCGGACCGGGGGTATCTTAACCTCTCTACTGATACTAGAAGCGTTCGTTTGGACGAGGTCCAAAATGTTGTTTTGTCTGGTAGGGTACATGTTGACTTGGTGGAAGAAAAAATAAAACGCAAGTTCTCTAAATTCAGATGATCCAGCCGAGATACTTCTTTCTGATTTGGTAGGAACCAGGCTGGAGTTCCAAGTTAAATCTGGGAAATTGAAGTCACCTGTGATAAGAAATTAACCGTAGTGTGATGTTTCTCACACAAATGTCGTGAACGACTCGAACCATTCGTCTAATTGGCAACTAGGTGGCCGGTACAAAGACACATTAGAGATTTCTTTGAATTTAACAGCTCAACTTCGAGTGCGATGATCTTTAATTAAACGATCAGACAAGTATGGGGAAGTTTTCCTTGAAGTTGCTCTGTTGTAAACAACATCATGACCTAGCGCTATATAAGAACTCCACATCCGCGTTTGTCAGCAACACGAACTTTTCTTATGACGTGATAACCTTTCGGTAGTATCGTATCTGTGATTATTCGTAATGCTATTATTAAGCCATGTCTCCATCATCATTATTATATCGTTATCATTTCTTCCAAGCACGATTAGGGTCCTTAGTTGATACTATTGATTTACAAGCACTATCAATGACAAGATTATCAATATAGCTAATATTCTAAGTTGATCATTAACTTCCTCACGAATTACCTCCACATTAATATCTTCTGTATATACTAAACTTGAAACTCCAATGCTGGAATTTGGAAATTTTGTTTGAAATTTAGCGACCACGTTTTTAAGTTCACCAACACGCACTTCAGCTTGATCTGTCGTTAGGTTATTAGTCCCACCGTGAATAATGACTTGAGAAGGATCGTCATTGACATTAATGCTGTCATTGCATTCGGCAATTTCCTTTCTGGTTTTGCCGAGATAGGTAAATTTTCTCATCGGTCTTCGGGACAATTTCTTCGGGTTAATACTGTATGCTTAATAATTGAATCGCCAATAATTACAATAGGCTTTAGAGATCCTTGTGCATTATGATGTTTTATTTCCTTTTGTGAATTTTTTTTTTTTTTATTCTTTATCTTGTTATTATAATTTTCAGCTGCCCTTTGGCGTCCCTCCATTATTTCGTCTTGAAAAATTACACTTTTCCGTTTTCTTGTTGATTGTTACGTTTTGGGTGGAATCTTGTGACGCTTCATCGACATCTATTGTTTTTTCTAGATCAATAAAATCGCACTTTCGTTCTCTGACTTTGTGGTTTCCCCTTCGTCACTTGTCCTCTGTTTTTCTTTCCATTTGGCGTTGAGATTTTTGTATCTGCGAAGCAGATATATTGCTATCGCAAACGTACTGTTACCGTATGATTGCACATAGCCATTCAGCGACGAGCTTATATATTTGAGTCAATTTAAGCCAATCAGCGACCAGGTTACATCAATAGTTTACGTCGTGTCCGCATCTAACCTACGAACGGGCATCGTTTGGCCTCGTGTTATTCTTTGCCATTTTCACATTTTGGCTTCAAAAATATCTTGATTTTGTCATCGATGTCCTTATCAATCCCGTACTACTTGAAGGCCTGGTCTTCCAGCTTTTTGTTGATACTAAGCATTGCCTATATTTCGTTTACAAAATGTTGTAAATTTAGTGTATTATTTACATGTTTTGTGCCTGTTATGGCTCTCTTAATGGACTTGATGGACTCATAAACATAAGATATTTTAGCGTTAAAATGGAACAGCTAATTACATCAGATCACTTTGAAAATAACTGGAAATATGGATGAAAATATGTACATCACAGAGCGTTGTAGACAAGTTTCATCGCTGAAGTCGTTGATCATTGGCAGTCGAGAGAATCGACTTGTTTTTTTTTTGCGAAATTGGCCTGGTTTTATAAGAATTAATTTAGCTGCACTCATCGTAAAGTTAACCTACGAAATGGAACAACTTAGAGCTAAAAATACGATACATTTTTTTTGTTTCTGCTATATGTAATGTCTATTTAACAGTGAAGCGAACTCGACAAGTGTCAAAAGTACTATCATTCTCACTCAAATATATTAAAATTGTTTTTCCCTATGCACTCCCCTATAATGTTAGCGCCATTTTGTGTGCCATTTTGTGTGTATACTAAGTATTGATGTCTTAAATTTCTGGCCATGGCTGAAATGTGGCCTGAACACAACACAGACCTTTCTAGCGCCTCAGCCCTCGCCTCAGCCCTTTGAAGCATTTTCGGCTATTTTACTTGTGTGAGTTTGTGGTTACATATACAGTTGAAACAAACACACAAACCAAACCCTTGCGAAAATAACTATATTATATTGCTATTTCAAAACTATTTTATTACTATCATCTCTATTTTTATGCTATTTTATTCCGAGGCAACCCTATTTTAATTGTATCATAATATTTCACCAAAAGAAAGAGCCATATTTTATTAATGTTTTGTTTTATTTTATTCCTATTTTTATAGATAATAGAAATAAAATCGCATATTTTAATATTATTTTCCAGAGCCTCAGGGAAAAAAAGGTTTAAAATAGCCTATTTAAATCCTATTTTGCTTCACTAGAAAGCAGTTAGAAAGTAAAATAGATATAAAATATATTATTTTTAAACTCATAAAATAAAATAGGTTGTTTTTAAACAATTTAAAAATCCTATTTTACATTGCAAGTTAAATGCACAAATTTCAAACAGGAATAAAATATACTATTTTAATCTTATCTTTCTTTCATAGTTAGCAAAATAACAATAAAATAGACTATTTTAAACATATTTTGCATGTGCAGAAAATTACACAAATTAAACAGATATAAAATATAGTATTTTAAAGCTATTTATTTTTCAGAATACGCAAAACAGAATAAAATAGACTATTTTAAACCTATTGCACATTTTTTAAAATGCCACATTTTTCAAATAGGGATAAAATATACTATTTTAAACCTATTTATTTTCCCTAATTTGCAAAATATAATAAAATACACTATTTTAATCCTATTTTACATTTACAGGAAATCAGGATTACAATTTGCAGATATGCATAAAATAGTCTATTTAAATTAAAACATACTGAATTCTCCTACTTAGCAAAATGAAATAAAATAGAACCGTATTTTACATTTACACATATAAGGGAACAATCATTAATAATGGAAGGGGGAGGGGTGAGTGGCGGAGGGTGAGAAAAGGGAGAGGCTTCAACTGTTGCCTACAGCGTCATCCCCACTGGTCATCTCATGCAGTGCTTCCACTTGCAAGGACATTTCTTTGCAAAAAGAAATAAAATTTACTAGGAAACGGCAAGGAATTTTGTTTTCAGCAAGGAAATAAGGATATTATGTTATTTCTAATAAATCCTAATATTATAGCAATTCCAAAGCAAATTCGCGTCAGGAAATGTCGAAAATCCAAATCATGATATCAAGGTTCGATATCAAGGCTCACGCCTCCTGTTGCAGTTTTTTATAATTAATTTATAATTGCAACGTTCATGGTGTTTCTCACCCGAGAAATACACCGCCATTCAGGATAAATTATTGTAATATCAGTTTTAAACTACGTAAAATTCATCTTCATCAAAGGAATTTTTGTCAAAAATAAGGAAATTTTGAGCAGTTGGGAAGGAAATTATTTTTTTAAAAGTAGAAGTGGAAGCACTGAATTAGTGAATTTACACCCCGCCATTTTTTATAATCAGTTCGTGATTTCGAAGTTACAATATTTCGCTCGATATTTCGAGCCGCTGAAGCCTTATTAACCGTAAATAAGCGAAGATGAAACATCAGGGATGATTGAGTAATATCCAGGTAAGAGTCTTGTTATGTTTTATGTATAACAGAGCAATTTTGAAAGGAAATATTTGCTATCTTCATTCGTGAATTTTGAGAATGCACGTGTTTGATGACCTTTGATGTTTCGGCTTAAAATTTGAATTTGCCGAGCCGATGAAGCCTTAATAAGCGAAGATGAAACATCAGGGATGACTGAGTAATATCCAGCTAAGAATCTTGTTATGTTTTATGTATAATAGAGCAATTTTGAAAGGAAATATTTTCTACTTCAATCTTCATTCGTGAATTTTGAGAATGCACGTGCTTGATGTTTCGGGTTAAAATTTGAATTTGCCTCGACAATATTTAAAACGATGATATAAAACATTAGTTTAATTCAAAGCTTACATTTGACTCCTGAAGTCTTTATAGTAAATTATGTTTATTGTAACTAATGCCAAATAGTTAATAGTTGTGTATTTCCAGATTCCAGTGACAGTGTTTCTTGTGTCAAAATTAAATAATATATTATAGCTTGGCATCTACTCAAGTTTCAATCCTCAATTCTTTATATGCTTATAAATACCTAGGCATATCCCAGCTAAATGTGCATGTCTCAGAGTTACATAATAGTCATAGAATAAAAGTTATTCTGAATAAGGAGTGCATTATATAATAATATAGTAATTAACACACAATTTATAAAAACTGTATGTTTTGAATCAAATATGATTCACCTTCAGCAGTGTTTCACAAGATATGTCGTTATATTTGCAAGACATGCCGTTATATTATATTCTACTTATATCTATCTAGATAGTATATTTGCTGAAATTATCAGCCGGAAAAGGATGTCTCATGCACTTTACCATTATAGCACTTATATACCCTACTTCAATTTTTTTTTCACCCTCAGTCTAACACCAGGTGTACATTGGTTGCATCAAAGCTGGATTCTTTCAGTGCTGTTTGATTTTACCATGTCTAACATCTGAGGGTAATAGTACAATGTACCATGATATCAATGGAATGGGGTATAGAGAGTTAATTTCAATTTCGTTTGTATGCAATGCTTGAAGTCTTTAATGCCGGGTGGGTCGGTTAATAGGTAAAATATCAATTTGATCAATTTGTTGTGTGGCAACTTGATTATGGAAGTGCCTTAACTGGAAACAGTCAAAGTCCTTTGTTTGCTTGTTCAAAGTTTATAATATATGAATACATTTATCTATACCACCTGCATGATCTGCTTAATAATATATGTAACAACCTTTGGGCTATATCTTTAGAGACAACCCGGCAAGTCACAACAAAGGTGAAATTACCCATTTCACTCCGAAGTGCCCAATTTTCAGCAGTTTGTTAATATTTAAATGTTCCTGTATCTTGCCTAATGTTGCACAATTTTATTTGCCAAGGAAAGTGTCCAGCTAGACCACAGGGGGCCCCACTATGAGTTATGATTGATATAATATTGTATTTATTTTTAAAAACCTACTTGAATCCCTTGATAATCGATTATTTCTTCTCTCGAAATTCTGTAAACATTTTAAACTGCTTGGAGTCATTATACTATCACTCTACATGACGTTTCATGAAGTA